CCCTTCACCCCTGCCACTACTGCCAGCCACGCCTCACCCACCATTATCTTAAGTAAACAGACTACCTGTGCGTCGTACTGAATTCAAGATAAAGTCACATGGTATCTGGAATCCTCAGCCCATCCTTTATACATTCTCGTGTATTCATATCCAAATCCGATGCTTTAGGGTTTATGTCCTTGGTGGAGGTGCATGGAGTCTCGAGATTTTGAGTTGGTATTGTTGATAATTGAGATGATGGGGGTATTATGGATTGAAAATTATGCAAGTGTTGTAAATTTTTGCGGAGTTGTTTTTTGGGTACTTTCGTTGGAGTGTAAGTACAATACAGTGTGGTAGTCGGGAGTTTAGATTGAACTAGGAACTCAAAGTGGAGAAGGTGCTAGGAGCCGAATAGCTCGGTCGGATGAGCCCCCGACTGGTCATCGGAAGTTCCTGGGTTCGATTCCCGGTGTGGACTAGCAATTTTTTTCAGTAGAATTTTTCATGAATTTAACTAGACCTGAATCTAGGCTAGATTATAGACTAGGCTAGAGTCTAGACTAGAATATAAACTATCCTAGATGAAACTAAATTAGACTAGTGTCTAGACTAGATAAGGAATTCCCAAAGAATAAGTGACTACGGGCCGAATAGCTCAGTCGGACGCGCACCCGACTGGTCATCGGAAGTTCCTGGGTTCGATTCCCGGTGTGGACTAGCAATTTTTTTCAGCAGAATTTTTCATGAATTTGACTAGACCTGAATCTAGGCTAGATTATAGACTAGGCTAGAGTCTAGACTAGAATATAAACTATCCTAGATAAGACTAAATTAGACTAGAGTCTAGACTAGATAAGGAATTCCCAATGAAAAAATTAATTTAACTAGACCAAAATCTAGACTAGATTATAGACTAGGCTAGAGTCTAGACTAGAATATAAACTCTCCTAGATGAGACTAAATTAGACTAGAGTCTAGACTAGATAAGGAATTCCCAATGAAAAAATTACTAGGAGCCGAGTAGCTCAGTCGGACGAGCACCCGACTGATCATCGGAAGTTCCTGGGTTCGATTCCCGGTGTGGGCTATCAATTTTTTTCAGTAAAATTTCTCGTTGATTGCACTAACCCAGAACCTAAACTAGATTATAAACCAGACTAGACTCTGGACTAGCCTCTCCAACCAATTCATGTAAGAAATAACTCAAGAAATGTCTCCAAGTACGATCGCAGTACTGTATCGTAGGTGGGGAATCTCATGAAACCAAGAATCATAGGTATGCAGTTGGCGCGCTCTAGTATGGAAGCTGCAATCAGCTCTGGCATGCGCACTTGTCTCTACTCCAACACATTGAATCATCCCCCTTCTCTCCATACCCCCATACCGATTCACTATCACAATCGTGACAATGCCGAACTGTACACTAGACCAAAGGAGGCGAATCATCCAGGTCCTCAATGCCTCGGTTGGCATCCCATCCACCTGCCATTGGCCAAGTGTCCTTCGATTTGTCGTACCGTGAATTGTAGCCAAAATAGATTGAATGAGGGGTTGACCTGCATTTGGCAACAACAATTCGGTGGGAATCGACAGTTCGAAGACATCATTACGGTAATTGCTTTCGTGTGGAAGTTTTCTAATCGTTAAAATTTAAGTTGTGGATTTTTTTGGGCTGTATTGACCCATTGCGATCCAAAAAGCCAGAAAATGCGTCGATGAAATTCATTTTGTTGAGCCCGCGCATTTTGTTGAGTCCATTTCGGGGGACAGTTTTTTTATTTTTGGAAAAAAAATATTCTTTCCTCGGCGATGTATTCTTTCTACGGTATAAACCTGTGGAGCTCTCTCAGATCAAATAATTGTCGTACAATGGATTTGTTTTTCTGTCAACAGTTGGAATTCTTCTAGAGATATTTCTGATGATCATGACAAAAATTCAATTTTTGCGAATGATATTAAATTTCCTTCTATCAAGTTGGTTAATTTCCTTCAAGTAAATCTGTTCCACTCAGAGCTATTTTTTTCTCTCAGCGTTGAATTTTTTATTTCATTCTAATGATTAATCGTTGTTTTGATTTATCGATTCATTTTTTAATTTTCATATCTTGAAAATGAGAATTTCGGAGATTTGTTCGGGTATCACTTTCTTTTTCAACAGCATAATCATTATTAATCCAAAATAATCACGAAGAAAAAAATGAGAAAAAAATCACGCGAATAGCACTGACAGTTGGCGAAATCCATCTCCAAAATCGTCGCAGAAGTTTCAGTTCAGAAGTTACTTCACGAAACAAAAAAATGAACTTTGAACTTTCCGGGCAATTTCACTCCACAAATATTGTCTGCACGAATTTGAAAGTAAACATATGTTCGAGAGCCGTTTGAGTTTGAAACTAGCATTGAAATTCGATCTTCCGTATTGTCTCCGGAATTCCAGAGGGGGAAAGAGTTGAAAATGAGCTGAATATATCTCCTCGACAATTGAATGAAGAATTTATTCAGAACTATTGCGAATCCCTTCAGACCATTTACCAATTTTTGAAAAAAAAAAAATTAGAAGCTGAGAAAATAATTCATAATATCACCGAAATTCTGATTTTCAAAAATGACAAAATTTCTGCAAATTTTCAAATAAAGCGCGTCATCGTTCAATCAATTCAAAAAAAAATTTCTAGTTATCCTGTGACAACCGATTTTCGGAAAAATTCGAAAATTAAAAAAATTAATCGATGAATTAAATTTTAATTAATGGTGATTGATAGGGCTTAATACCTGAATTGAAAAAGTGCTTCCTCCACTCCATGCAAACGTATTCACGTATTATTAACATCGGCATCCGTAAATTATTCCACTCTTTGGAGAATGAATATTCATTGAAATCAAATAGAATGCTTCATTGCCTGGAATGGACGGTATTCCGCACACTCTTGAAGCACCCGAGATATTCACTGATTTTATGAATGATGTATACATGCCAGAGTCGAATTAAATCATTTGAAATATTCGAAATGATGATGAGGCTCAGGAGAAATAAACAAGACCCCAAAACAAAGTAGTTCCGCTGAAAAAAGATTGACAATACAGAGCAGAATGCTAACTACGATCCATTCCTGAGCTGTTGAATTGATCTATCATGTACTGACAGACGCGTTATTCGAGGCGTCCGCTATCAGTCCCGCGTTGTCACTCATGTGTGGGACTGTCACTAAAAAAGATACAGCGATAAATAACGATTCCAACTTCCCATCAATTATCATCATGCGCGAATTGTCTCGTTTCCCAGTTCAAACTCGCTTATTTCAATTTTAAGAAGCAATAATGGAGGAGGAGAGGATAATCCGAGGGCCCCCAGGACCGAAACTAAGAAATATGAGCGTTGGGCAATTAATCCTGGAGCAACTTCAAACGAGTCCACTGCGAATAGTGCAGGTAATTTTAAAATAAATCAGGAAAATTCATCAAGAATCACAAAAATGGAAAAATGCGATCAGTTCACTCGTCTCTCCCGTTTGACCCTCAAGGAATTTTAACCCTACACCTGTCTCTCCCGTTTAATAATATTTATATAAGCGAACGGGAATTATTTTCGTTGTATAAGGGTCAAACGGAAGAGACGAATCAAGTAATCACTCCACTCGTCTCTCCCAGTTGCCCCACAAGAATTTTTGACCCTTCTGATTACTCTCCTTGTCTCTCCCATTTGACCCTCAAAGACATTTAACCCTATACCTCTCTCCCGTTTAATAATATTTGTACAAGCCAACGGTAGTGAATTTCGTTGTTTAAGGGCCAATCAGTCTTGAGGGTCAAACGGGAGAGACAAAGTGATCAGAAGAATCAAACTTTCTCAAGAGTCTAATGGGAGGGACAAGCGGAGGGGTTAAGAGGGTTAAACGGGAGAGACGACCACAATGATCGCTCCACTCGTCTCTCCCATTTCACCCACAGAATTTTTGACCCCTCTGATTACTCTGGTTGTCACTCCCGTTTGTCCCTCCACCGAATGGTCGTGAATTTTGTTGTTTAAGGGTCAAACAATCTTGAGGGTCAAATGGGAGAGACAGGCGGAGAGGTTAAGAGGGTCAAACGGGAGAGACGAGTGAAGTGACCACTGCATCGTCCCTCCCAGCGTCAAATGGGAGGGGCAAGCGGTGGGGTTACGAGGGTCAAACGAGAGAGACGAGTGAAGTGACCACTCCATCGTCACTCCCATTTGACCCACGAGAACGTTTGACCTTTCTGATTACCCTTGACTCTTGAGAGTCAAACGGGAGAGACGAACGAAGTAATAAGGAGAATCAAACTTTCTTAAGGATCAAATGGAAAAGACAGGCGCAGGGATCAAGAGGGTTAAACGAAAGAGGGTCTCTCCCATTTAACCCACAAAAACCTTTGACCCTCCATCATTTTTTTTGATAAACGACACAGAAACAAATGTTATCTTAATTTTTAATCATCTCTAAATTAGTCTTTTGCTACGATCTCGCTTTTCCCCACCCTTCCCTACGTATGATTTCCATAATAAAATTTTTATTAACATAATAAAAAATTTCCCATTAGATTGATGCCCATACAGGAAAAATTCTGACAAGCCACGATTTATTAGAAAAAAGTGTGAGACTAGCTGTTGCCCTTCAGGAATGGGGATTGAATTCAGATGATGTAGTGGCAATATCAAGTGAGACCCAGTCAAATTGGTTCGTCGCAGCTTGTGCAGCAATGTACCTTGGTAACTGTGTTGCTCCTTTCAATCCAGCCTACGTTGAAAGTACGTCATAAATGCATAAACGAAAATATTAAATTACTCTTAGCGCCGTTGTGAGAGTGTATTCCGATGATTCTAGATGAGATTCGCCACGTTCTTATGATCTCGAGACCCCGTATAATTTTTGTATCACGACGTACGTCTGGGTCTGTACGTCGAGTTGCGTTGACACTGCCTTGGGAGATTGAGATAATTCAACTGGACGAGGAAAATCCGATAGAGGATATCGTTACGGTACGCGGAATGATTTCAGGGGGGAGGCAATGGCCTGATCCTCATCGTTATCAGGCAGTTGTAGTGGATGAACCGTCTACGAGGGAAGCCGTTATTCTTTGCTCCAGCGGCACTACCGGTCTGCCAAAGGGCGTTATGCTTTCGCATAAAAATATTCTGGCTGCTTCACGATGCGCACAGTGAGTCACAAGGGAGGGATTGTATATTTCAATATCTCGATTGTTAGATTTCGGGATTCGACGGAATAATGATGATAATGATGAGGATAATTGGGATGGCAATGACAATTGTGACAATGACAGTTATGATAGTGGGGGCCACGTTTAAAAAACTTCCGCTAAAAAACTCCACGTTTCTTAAAATCACGTTTAAGAATCTCCCGCATGCCAATCCCACACTCTAACCACACAGCCACTGCCGTCGGTCTGGTATAAACTAATAAATAAAAATAATAGTACCACCAGTTATACCGATAGAGATCATTGCAAAGCACGTCGTTGAACGACTTTTTTTGCCTAAATTCACTCTGGATAAGTAATCTTTTGTTTATTGGAGAAATGTTAAACCCATCAGTGTATTTGTATTTGGCTACTATGACAATAAACACCTTAAAAAAAAAAAAAAAAAAAAAAAAAAAAAAAAAAAAAAAAAAAAAGCTGCATCGGTTAGAGTAGCGAGTTGATAATCTGAAGGTTGCGGGTTCAAATCCCCTCGTGGACATAGTCCATCATTTCATAACGAGTTTCTTTCAATAAAATATTGAAATCATAAAAACATGTCATGTGATTTTTTCAAGTCTTTTGGATTTCGTACCAACTGGACATGGCATTCCAGTCGTCATGTTCTTCCTCCCTCTTTTCCACGGCTACGGATTGGCCACCATGCTCACCGTGATTCAGGCGAATGCCACAGCGGTCATGATGAAGTCATTCGAACCGAAGCTCTTTTGTGAGTCAGTCCAGAAATATCGGGTGACGTTCATCCCTCTGGTGCCACCCATCATGGGGTTCTTGGCGAAGCATCCGATAGTCGATAACTACGACTTCAGCTCTGTGAGGGAAATTGTCTGTGGAGCAGCGCCTCTTTCCAGAGAGGTAAGTCAACTCGAGGGACTATTCGTTGATGAAATCACGTGAAAACATTTCAATAAATCGTTGAAATCCTTTCTAAATAAAAAACAACCTAGATCACGTTCGAAAGAAAGCACGCGGGCGGTAAAATCTTATTCAGTGAGCACAGGAATTGGAACTTGAGCAAATCATTTATTGCAGTATGAAAATTTAGCAGCTGATGAATTGCTTTGTCCAATGATAATGATTATAAACAGTCAATTGAAAAAAGAAATATCGAATCTGTGCAAAATCACGTGAAATCAGCATTCAATATCCCCTCAAGTGAACTTCCTATCGAAACTTGAACTATCCAAGTCCGCTGTGATGATACTGCAATCTCAGGTACTCGAAGCTGTTCAGAAACGAATGAAAAACAAAGAAATGACCATCAGAAATGGCTATGGAATGACCGAATTATCCGTAATAACACACATCTCCGATCATTTTACCAAGAAAGCTGATACACTTGGTAGCGCTGTGACAGGAATTCAACTGAAAGTCATTGATCCGGAAACGGGAAAGTGTCTTGGCCCCAACAAAACTGGTGAACTATGCTTTAAGGGTGATCACGTCATGATGGGATACAAGGGTGACCCTCGGGCAACAGCAGAAACTATTGATTCCACTGGTTGGCTTCACACCGGTGATCTTGGTTACTACGATACTGATGGCGAACTGTTTGTCGTTGGACGACTCAAGGAGCTCATCAAATATAAAGGATTTCAAATTGCACCAGCGGAAATTGAGAATCTTCTGATGTCGCACGATCAGGTGGAAGATGCCGCTGTGGTTGGGAGGAATGATGATGTTGCTGGGGAAATACCTTTGGCATTCGTTGTTAGGAGGAAGGGGGCCAACGTTACAGCTGAGGAACTCTGTAGATTCGTTAATGGTACAATTTTTTTCAACATTTTTATTAAGGGGAGACTACTATGAGTTTTAAAAGTCGTGGGTTATTGGAGTGAGACTTTTCATACGTTGAAGATCGATTATATAGATCTGAAAACGAATAATCAGTGCGAAAAAAAAATTTTTTTATTGTTCGTTTGCCCGAAAACGATTAAAATGGCTAAAACAGTCCAGGGCCTCCAATTTTTCAGCTACGAAGGATTTTTTTTTCAAAATTTTCGGAAAAATATGTGGAATAACAATTACGAGCTAGTTTTCTTTAATTCACCTCTTTCATGGCTAATTTGCTTTTTTGTATTTTTTTTACACAAATAGTGATTTTTTATTATATGAAAACAACCAAAATCAGCGGTGTAGGAGTCGAATTCCAAAAAACTGGCTCGTAATTGTTGTTCCACACATTTTTCCGAAAATGTTGAAAAAAAAAAATCTTGTTTTTAGCATTTTAAGCGTTTTCGGGCAAACGAACAATAAAAAATTTTTTTTTTGCACTAATCATTCATTTTCAGATCTATATAATCGATCGTCACCGTATGAAAAGTCTTACCCCTTAAATTGCGAGGAAGGTCTTCATGAAAATTCATCGAGAAAATTGTATTTCTCACTTGCAGGTCAATTGTCAGCCCAGAAACATCTGCGGGGTGGTGTCAGGTTTATCGAAGCAATACCAAAAAATCCAGGGGGAAAGATTCTACGTCGAGAGCTTCTAAAATTACTTCCTAAACTGTAAAAAAACTAGTGGACAATTGCATTTTTTATATAAAAAATAAATACAGTATGGGCCAATTCCACGTATTTTTCAAATTTATAAAGAATATATAAAAATCATATAAACCCTATATGTCATCTATTTTTTCACGTAAATTGGGCCAATTTAAGATACTTTTTTACATATTTTTCAAAATATTAATTTTTTCGAATGGGTTGAGCGATTACAAAGCGTCCATTCGGAGGCAAAATACAAATCTCATTTTTTCAGTGAACGAATTCATATAATAAATTATTAATGATCACCGATTATTCTTTAAACCTTCAAAATTAATTTCTCTCCCTCGAAAAACCTTCGGCTCCCTTCACCCTCTAATCAAATAAATCAATAAATTCGTAAATGTAAACCTGATAGAGACAATACTACCCCGCACACCGTCATTTAAACATCGACGGTATTATCTTCATGATTGGGGTATTGGAGAATTGAAAATACCGACTGGTGTTACGGTTCGTACCGGATCAAGCGAATTATACGAGAGGGGATTGAGGGGCGAGGGGGCAGGGTACATCCAGCGCTCAGTATCGGAGAAATTTAAATTCAATGGAGTTTGAATGGCTATCCGTGAACTGACATTCACCCCCTCTCTCCCTCTTCCTCTCACTCCCCCTCCCCGCCACCTGCCCTTTGGCGCTTAACACCTCTGAATGACTAACGCAATTGGCCGAGGGACGTAGGAACGATCGGTGCTCACGGGCTTGACAAATCAAATTGTCAGAACAGTGAATTATTTAAACGTTAAAAACCGGGAAGGACCGATTTTCCCCCGGTGGTATGGACGCTTTTTTAATTCATTTATGGGTGCGATACTGCAGCCGCGCCGAGTTTCAGTCGTGAAATTGTTCAATTATTCCTTCATAAAAAGAATTGGCTCTTGTATTTTTTGTTTTCAATTTAAGTCTTCATTTTTTATTTCTCCGGTAATTTCAACTGACAATTTTTCCCAATGGAAATCTTTCAAGGACGTAAAATAATTGCCTCATTTTTATCCGATAAAGTCTTTATTTGAACATGCAAACATTTATATTGATTTCTCATTAAGATATTAGAAAAACTATTTATTTGAGGTCGAAAAACGCAAAAAAAAATGAAATTCAAGTTTTTTTAAAAGCGAAAAAAGAAAATTTTAATTGAGTAAATCATTTATACATTAAATTTAACAAATTTTTTCTCTCCGTGCAAGTAATAAATTAATTTTTCTTTAAAGCATAATAATCATCCCCCAAAATCATCTCCTAAACTCGAGAAATTAATTCTCATCCCTCAAAGCGAAGAAATATCAATCCAGTTTGTCAATAAAATTACCGTAACGCATCGTCGAAAACGGTAATGAACACATCAGACGTGTCATTTCGTGTGCTTCAATGTCACACCTAAAGCAAACCCGACGAGGAACATACACCCGAGGTACTGCCAGCCAAGAGTACAATCATCAGTACAAATGGGCTGGAAACTCGTTTAGGTAAATCAGAGAATGTAATTCAGTAATATGATTTATCGAGTCAATAATATTCCCACGAATAATATGCTCATCCCCCCCCCCCCCCTCCTCCTCCATTTATGTGATATAATAACGGAAATGGAATTGCGTGGAGGGTGTGCGCTGAAATCTTGTTGTCGAGAATTATTGACGGATGGAATCTGTAATGAAGTGGAATAAGGAGATAAGTGTGTCGTAATAGGCATGTTCTCTGGAGAATGTGTCCGTAGCGATGATGGATGTGTGAATCTAGTCTCATTAAATTCGAATTTATTTATAAATATTTTGCATTAAAAAATGTACTGAGAAATGATGCAGTTATTTATTTCCATTTGGAGGGGGGCCGCGCCCCCTCCACTCGCCCCCTGCCCTGCTTACTATTAATTATATGTAATACATGAAAATCAGATATTGATTACAATTTTTTGACTTCTAGTATTTTCCAATATTTCAATTTTCAGTATTCATGACCTTCATACAGCCTTCTGATGACCTTCATATGGCCTCCGTGTGACCCCCAAATCACTCTCATGTAACCTTCACATGTTCTCCATATGACCTTTATGTAACCTTCACGTGACCTTTATGTAACCGTATGATTTTCAGATGACCTTTCTAAGGCTTCCATGCGACCTTCACTTAATCCCGACATAACTTCCATATGATCTTCATAAAACCTTCAGATGACCTCCGCATCATCTTTATATAGCCTTCATATGACCTTCATATAACCTTCATGTGACCTTCCAACATTCCCATGAATTTCATGTAACATCGACATGACCTCCATATGACCTTCATATAACCGTCACATGACCTTTATGTAACCTCCATATGATCTTCGGATGACCTTTCTAAGGCTTCCATGCGACCTTCACTTAACCCCGACAACTTCCATGTGATCTTCATAAAACCTTCGGATAACCTCCATATCATCTTCATTTAGCCTTCATATGACCTTCATATAACCTTCAGTGAGCTTGCAACATTCCTATGAACTTCATGTAACATCGACATGACCTCCATATAACCGTCACATGACCTCTACGTAACCTCCCTATGAACTTCACATGACCTTTACAGGACCTTCGTATGACCTTCACCTCGGACACAACCTTCATATGATCTTCATAAAACCTTCACATAACCTTCATGTGACCTTGACATAACTTCCACATGAACTTTATAGAAAAACCCCACACGATCTTCATACAGCCTCCATGAGCCCTTCATATGATCTTCATAAAACCTTCACATAACCTTCATGTAACCTTGACATAACTTCCACATGAACTTTATAGAAAAACCCCACACGATCTTCATACAACCTCCATGAGCCCTTCATTTAACCTTCGCATGCCCTCTATGACCTCCATATAACCTTCATAAGACCTTCAGGTAATGTCTACACGAACCCTTCCAGGACCTTCATATGAACCCCACAGTGTTCATAATTATACAATTATTGATCAATTTAAAAACAAAATTGAGAATTTTTAAAAAAATTAGAATCAACTCCTACGAAATTAATTCTACCCAGACGAGATTGTTAACGAGGGCGATGGGAATACTGATACGTCGATATCTCAATCATGATAACGATCAAGGGTGACCGGAAAATAGGAGCGCCAGGGGATAGAGAACATTTGATCATTCTAGTGACTGCTTATTGTAATGAACGTACTAGTGCAATTGCTGCCCCCATACATACAGAGAATAATCCCGGATGCGTTACGTGCATCAGACATTTGATGATGCATAGTTGCTGTTGACATGTCGGGATGTCAGAATCGTATGGCTCCTCTTGAGGCAACCCCAGTACACCCCCTCCTCACAAGGGCGCCATTATACACAAGCAGAGGTCGATTCGACAATAACCAATGTTATAATGTTGGCGGAGTCTGGTTTCATTGTTGACGGCTGGATTTTTGGGAGATTTAGGAATGTTTTGCAGCCCCCGCGCGGACCTCTTCATACACGGAGAGACATTTTTTATAAACATTATACTATTGTTCTATAAAAATGTTATGAGTCTTCGTTTAATATATGATGATCAAATTCAGTAACGAAGTGGTAAAAGGAGATAAGTCAATTTTGACTGTTGACCAGTTTTCAATCAATATCTCGGAATCTAAGGGAGATTGCAAAATTTTTGTTATGACGTTTTCTGTGGAGCCGATTGAGGGCTACAACAAATGTCGTTACGAAAATTTCGCTAGCTCCCTTAGATTTGGAAATTTTCCTCAAAAACTCAGTTGAGAGATGAGTCGACTTTTCTCCGTTTACCAATTTACTACTGAATTTTATTCTACGTTAGAGAAATGTTATCCTGATGAAAATAAGAATTAACGCGCCGGTAGAGTAATAATTACTGTACCGGTAGGGTAAAATTTTCAACCAAATATTCCAACCAACTGGTCGTGTATTTTGACCAGTTTTCAATCAATATCTCGGAATCTAAGGGAGATTGCAAAATTTTTGTTATGACGTTTTCTGTGGAGCCGATTGAGGGCTACAACAAATGTCGTTACGAAAATTTCGCTAGCTCCCTTAGATTTGGAAATTTTCCTCAAAAACTCAGTTGAGAGATGAGTCGACTTTTCTCCGTTTACCAATTTACTACTGAATTTTATTCTACGTTAGAGAAATTTTATCCTGATGAAAATAAGAATTAACGCGCCGGTAGAGTAATAATTACTGTACCGGTAGGGTAAAATTTTCAACCAAATATTCCAACCAACTGGTCGTGTATTTTGACCAGTTTTCAATCAATATCTCGGAATCTAAGGGAGATTGCAAAATTTTTGTTATGACCTTTTCTGTGGAGCCGATTGAGGGCTACAACAAATGTCATTACGAAAATTTCGCTAGCTCCCTTAGATTTGGAAATTTTCCTCAAAAACTCAGTTGAGAGATGAGTCGACTTTTCTCCGTTTACCAATTTACTACTGAATTTTATTCTACGTTAGAGAAATTTTATCCTGATAAAAATAAGAATTAACGCGCCGGTAGAGTAATAATTACTGTACCGGTAGGGTAAAATTTACCAACCGTTCTAGAATTTTCGTTGTTATCTACATAAAAATTATTGGATTGGAAGGGTAAAATTTATTGTGCGTCAGGATAAAATTTCTCTAACGTAGAATAAAATTTGATCATCATACATTAATTTTTACTAAATTTCGGGATAGAAATGAAGAAACGATGATTCATGATACACTTTTATAGAACGGTAGGATAATTTTTATCAAAAATTTCTCTCCGTGTATTTCATTCTGATGTATTCATTCATTTTTTAGATTATTCATTGGCCCGAGTATTTATTTCATTGTTCCTGGTATTAAAAGAGTTTACTCAATATTTTGAATGTCCGTTGTCGTCGTGGATCGATTTAATTTGTAGAAATAAATTTCAAAGGTTTTTTTCGCATGCCTTTTGGATAAATGCATTCATTCTGCGGAGAATTATATGAGGCGCCGGTTTTATCGAGTGAATGTTATTGAGTAGTGTATATTTATTCTACTCCATCAAATATTCTCACGTGGAACATATAGTTTTTCAGCAGAACAAATGTTTTCTCTCCCTGCATCAAAAAATAGCACTTTGTTCTCGATCGAACACTTTATTCGCTGTTGCAATCCATAAACTCATGGAGAATAATTAAATTTTCAGGGAAATTTGGATCAGCCCGATTGGAATGTGCACCAATTAATTCAGATTTTTTTTTCCCCCAAAATGATTATTTAAATTCCGTAGAATATCCGTCAACAGTTATTTCGCATCAAATTCCTGGAATTCCGCAGTTCCTAGAATTAACAATTCAGTTTTTTTCAGCTGAATCGATAGCAGAGATACTTCATCGCAATAACACTCCGCGAGCGGAATTTTTTATTTAGGTGAAATGGGTGGGTTTTTTTGGGTGTAAAATAAACATATTTATTTGAACTGATTTGTTCATTTATTTTAGAGTATATCCCTGGAAAACGAGGTTTCCTTACTATCATCAATTTTAAATTTAGATTATCAATTATTTTAGTATTTTTTAATTTCTGTTAGGCCCGGTTGCATCAGCCCCGGGTAACGAAAACGTCAGATAAGAAAAAAAAAAATTTGGATGTTCGATGGATTATTTTACCCGGGAGAGTATCTCAAATTTATCTCAGGAACAAAAAATAAAATTGAATCCCAAGGTTAAAGTAGCTCTATCCTTACGATAAATTCAAAGATTATTGAAAACTGCAAAAAAATTGCAGAAAACTCGATTAGATTCGGAATTTTAATTATTTTTTTCTCAATTTAATTATCGTTTTGATTTTTCAAAGAAGAAATGTTTAAGAATCAGGATTTAACCCAGTGTCTTATGTGAAAATCAACATTTCCATTTTAATCAAAGATTAAAATCTTTTTTTTTTTCACTAGATGTGAAAAAATCAAGAATTTTTTTGACACCTCATAAAAAATAATCCACCGTTTTGCAAACAAGTTTTATTATTTATTTATAAGAGGGAAATTTTTGCAGAAATATCAATATTTTCCTAAATTTAATTTAGATAATACTGACTGGGTATGAATTTTTTCAAATTTTTTCCATGCAATTTAGTCGAAAAATTGAAAAACTGAAAATATCCGAAAGTACAGCGTAGCCCGGCCGAAGGGTAGAGCTACTTTGAGCAAAGATTATCCTTGTTCCTAGGGTTAAAATGATCCCCGGCGAAATAGATTGCTGACAAAAAAGGTGACACCAATTTTCTAATAGAGGAGATCGATAGGAATTAACTTTTGGGTGCTATTGTCTTGGGATATACCTTACCTATTGAAATAGTTCAGGCACCTGTTTCCATGACTCATAATCAGCGTGAGATAAGATTACAATCAATCCACAGTTCCAATATTTTTCTGTCCTCATATCAGTCTGTCTCTCGAATGCACCAGCGATGGGGAGTTCAAACTCGAAGAAAGCCGATATTACTCGCGAAATTCTGGAGGAGTACGCTCAGCTCACGTACTTGAATAAAGCCGAAATACTTCAGTGAGTATCTCACGTGGATTTATGGTAAAAAATACTGGTGTATCGGTGAGAAAGAGGGAAAAAAATTGAAGAGAAGGGCTTTGCCAGTTGCATTAGTGAGAATTGTTTGCTCTGAGTTACGAAAACCATTACACTGTTTTCCTCTTTTTTCTCCCCCTCAGTATTTTTAGGCTCTTCAAGTCTTTGGCGCCCCAAGAACTGGTTGAAAACTTTAACCACCGATTGCCGGCTCAAGATATTCTCAAAGTGCTTCCGCAACTTCGGGTGAGTTTTCCGTGGATTTATCGAATGATCGGAAAAGTGATATTTTGATAATCGGTTTATTTATCGGGTGATAGTGATTTATGCTCTCACAGAGAGAAAAAAATTGCCGAATGAGTCACGAAATCGTGGAGTGAACTCGCTTTTCAGTACTCTGTCACCTCATATCAGGGAGAAAGTGCGTGAGGAACAGTGAATTTTTGAGAGAACGTGTGAAAAACTTTGTCAAAAAACCTGGTTGAATCCACTTTGGTAAAGTGAACTTTTAAAAAATAATTTTTGCATCCATAGATCTATGAAAAAAATAATACATACATCATACATTTTTCCTGATAGATCTATGTAATGTAATTCAGTAAAAATCTATAATATTGTATCTATAATATTTTTTTTGATGATAAAAAAAAAAAAAAAATTCTAAGAGAATTAGAATTTAGAGAGAAAAAATTTCCGCTTCACCCAGCCGGGAATCGAACCCGGGTCTCCCGGATACGCGCCGGGCATAACATAAATATGTTTTTTACCGAATAAATAAAAAAATTAAAGATAACGTAAAAGTAATTCGGTAAAAATTTCGTTCCGGGATTACATTTCGTACAGTAAAATTTCCCGGTTTTTCAAGGTAATTTTCATACAACTTTTCTCCCCGTACAGGTGCTGCGTAAAATACATTTTGTAAAGCATTTCAACAAAGGGATCTTAAGATTATTCGCAATGGAATGGAGAAAAGGGTTTTACACCTGGGGAAATGGTTTATTTTGACTGAATGAACTGCATTTGAATGAAATAAATGGGTTTATTGAGGCCGTAGAAAGATCGTAAATTTCTTTAGGAATTGAATAGAATTGCATTCAGGATGCCTTTAGTTTTCCAGAAATCCTCAAAAAAACGCAAATGTACTAGCTTTGATGGGCGTTCGCCTGAGGCCGACTGCGAGACTTGGTGATCCCGAATTAACCTCGTTTTCGCTGTCGAGAAAAACGCGTAAATCGTATAAATGGACTTCTGGACGTTGCGGGCTCGACTATTCAATTTCATTTTAATTTTCATTTTTATTCACAGAAATAATCGGAAATCAGGTGATTTCGGAAATCATTAGAAATCATCGATAAATGTAAAATCGAAATTGATTTTGATTTTAAAGAATCAAGAAATCATTACAATCTACAAGAAATCATGGGAATCACAAAAAATCAAAAGAAATCGTGATTTCTAATGCTGATTGAGAAATCACAAAAATCATTTGAGAAGTCACAGAAATCAACAGGACATCATCTGATTCTGGAAATCACTGAGTCACTCGATTGCGGAGTGACCAGCCCCTCGATTTTTTTTTCGTGATCAGATAAAAATTACCGAACGCTCCGGAAAAATTCCGTGACAGTTCCGTAAAATTTCCTACAACCACATTTCTCTCCGGGATTACGGAAGATACGTAATTTTTTATTGAATATTTCTCTCCGCGCATCACAATGTGTGGAAATTTCACTTTACGCACGAGCGATGAAATAGTTTTGCACAAAACTATTGATGAATGGGTCTTTCAACTTGAATGATTTCTAATAGAGAATTCATTTGAATGAATAATTAATTTATTTAACAAATAAATTGCTGAAATCAGCAAAAAAAATTGACTAAAAAATTGAGTGTACTTCATTCAATTTAAATGCGTCATTGACTTCTTGTTTCAGTACAATCCATTTCGTGAATCAATCCTCCAAGTATTTTCATCCGAACAGGATGGAAGAATGAGTTTCGAGGACTTGTTGGATTTGTGTTCAGCAATGTCGGATAAATGTCCCGAGGACGTTCGTGCTGGTTGGGCATTCCGCATATTCGGTAATTAAATATCTAAATTCGATACAAACGATTAATCAAAAAAATTGTAAATTGATAGTGTTCCGTGACTAAAAATATTGTTTTCTGTTGAAGAAAAAAAATGAATTTGATAGGGAGTAGTATTTTATGTCATCAGGCGATAATAGTATATTTCGTAACGAGTGCAAAAAACATTTTTTCACGAGTTACGAACAATATTTTTCACCACAATGTGGCGGAAATTGGCCTTTTAGGCACGCGGAGCGTGTCGAAAAGTTCACTTTTCGTCACAGCGTGATGAAAAAGTATTATCTGGCGAATGTGGGTTTATAATCCGAGCCGAAGGCGCGGTTTATCGGGCCTAATGACATGAAAAAATTAATGCAATAGTCTGCAAACTGAAAAATCGGCCATTTCAAATAACAATTCTTTTCAGTAAAACATAATAAAAACCATAATAATGTTTTTTCCGAAGGATATTTCGTGAAAAAAAATGTCAAAGCCCAACTTTTGTTATTGATGGAATCAGGCGCGTATTTTTCGTCACGACGCGTGGAAAGTGCGCGCGGAGCGTGCGTAAAATATCACTTTACACACAAGCGCTGAAACATAATATTTACGCCCTCGTGCACGGAAAGAAATTTTCGATAAAAATTAGACCTCCAGACGGCGAAACGTGGGACGAAGGTTAGTTTAATCGCAAAAATTAGACTCCCAAGTCTAATTTTCCCGACAAAACTTAACCTAAAAAGTGGTTGAATGTCATTTCGTCCCCTGTTTGGCCCTCTGGAGGTCTAATTTTTATCGAAAATTTCTTTCCGTGTGTTGAAATGGACTTGTTTATGAATTCCAGATTTCGACGGCGACAATCAGCTGTCGATAGACGACTTGATCGAAGCGGTTGAGAGAATAACAGGTTTCAACCACAATGGCCGCATCCGAATAGACCGGGATAGCGCGGAATTTGTGGCTCAAGTGGTATTTTATCAATTTATCAGTCATGATATTAACCACCAAAGTTCAAACAGTCGGTATTTACCGACAAGTATACCCCTCCAAAAACTTTGGCTATACCTCCCCCCCCCCTCCCCCCCAGCGTCCACCCAACTCCCGGTCTTTCTTCAGCTATCGTACACACACATTCAATATATATTGAAGTTATTACGGCTTATGGCCTCTGTGGGAACAATAATGCCATTGTCTTAAACGCCGTAATGGCTTCGTGCCGGTGTTTCCGTCAGGGTAAGCCGCGGCGAGGCCCTTGTGGATGGGAGGGACTTGTTCACCAACGATTTTGGTACTCCGGGAGAATTGGCGCCCCTTTCTTGCATTTACTCACGATTATATGTCCATTCCTCTCTATTGTACTGTTGGCAACTTTTCCACCTAGGTACAAACTTTTAATATATTGCGCTCTCGGCAGGTACTCGAGGAATTGGATCTCGATCGGACGGGGAGCGTTGGACTTCAGGAATTCGTGCATACTGTTGTTAGGATGCCGGAATTCGGGCATACTTTCAGGCTCAATGCTTGAGGAATTGCTCAAGGGGGTTTAGACACTTTTTTGAAAATATCATCTTTGCATTTTGGAGAAATTTTGAGTAATAAAAACTTTGCGCCGTGAATTCTTAGACTAACGGAAATGAAGGAAATTTAATTTATGGCTGGGAAAAATTGTTCCTTTTTCAGGAACTGGATGAAACGAGTTGACGGAATTTCAAAGGGGGTAAGTAATTTTAAAAAATTCTCTGAAATGCGAGGTGGTTGACAGCTGTGGGCGCCATCTTGCTTGGATACCCCCTCCCTCTGGCGGAAGGGACTTCAAAGCTGGCGGCGCCTTCACCTCGTGTTTTTAAATATTTCTTTAAATTATTTAGTCTCTTCAAATTGCCGTAAATCCGCGTCATTCGATTGCTATGATGTGAACAAATTTCTGAAGACATTTTTGCATTATGAACTTCTGTTTTTTCAACGAATTCATAACGCAATTTTTTTTCAATGAATTTATCCAAAAGAAAGAACCATAACAAAAAATTCTTTCTGTGCCAACGTTTCGAACCACTAGGAGTTTTTCATCGGGGCAATTTATTGAATCTAAAACCAAATTACAAAAAAAAATAGAATTGAACCTGTTATTTTTCCATAGCCGGTAATTTGAATTACCACAAGGATTTGTCTTACAAAAATAAAATGTCGCTTAATTGTTTACCAAATTATCCTAATGAAATGCAAATTTTTTTTGCAGTTCAGTATTATTATCATATTCCACGAGCCTTTTTAAACTCTCCATTTAAATTCCCCATTTATACAGTCTCCAAAGGAGGGGATAACAGAATAAAATGTCTGCATCGAAAAGAAATTTCGAATACTCTTTATCACACTAAACTATTCACCAGCATTCATAATTTAGTCGAATGTAACATGAAAAATTGAACGTGAAATATTTAATGATGAAATAATCCGTCAAAAGAGTAATAAAGCTTCCGTGGATGGCTCGGAAGGCGCTCACTTTTGTTACAGTGACCAAGAACTTCAGCAGTCATTATCCATCTGAATTTTTCATTCCCCATTTTACGACTGTCTGTCAAAATTTGTAAGCGGTACAAGGCGAACGATTGTGAATCCCCGGATTTTTTCGCTCGGGGAGAGGGGGGAGTTTTAGTGCTCGGGCGTAGGTGCGGGGCAGCACAGGGGGATTTTTATATTTAACGTAGGTCACTGGGTATTTGCAGAGGTATGATTTCGTCGGGTCATCGGTATCGGGAGTTCGGAAGTAGCTCAGGGGGTGGATCGTGCCGTCTGCATTTTTGTATTGCTCTCGATGCAATTGGACTGCCTGAAAAAATTTATTTGTAGCATTTCTCATGTTTCGGTTTCATCAAAAACCGATTAAAAACGATTTTGGTTTGCTTTTATTTATGAATCGGGTTTGCAATCGTATTTTTTGCATTTAATGCGGAATCTATATTATAATTATCGTTTCTGAAGTGAAATAATTCGGGGCAATTTTTTTTATACCAAACGCATTGTTTTTTTTCATTTGAATCTTTAACATGGGGAAATAAACTTTCCAATTCATATTTATTATTTCGGAAATATGACAATTTTAGGGAGATCACTCTTGTTTTTTTTCTCCTTCTTGACCTATTCGCGTTTCGTATGTCCTATTCGCCGTTAGAAAAGATTTTAAAAATCTGAAAAAAAAATCGAAAGTTTCCTTTTGCAAGAAGTTTGATAAGATAATAAAAAAATTTAATTTTTGACAATCACGAACATTTTCTATGAATAATTTATCAACAATCAATTTTCCACCACAAAAATCATTTGTGCTGAGTCGTAACAAATTTATTCGTATTCAGAATTTCACCAGAAATCGATTTCATTTCTAAAAAAATGTGTCCGAATATTTAAACAATTTCAATTATACATTTATATATCCAACGAATGTTTAAAAAAATACTAACTTCGTGTGAAATGTAATTTGATTGACAATTTGATTGATATTCATGATTTTTTTCAGTTTTCTCACGTAATTTAATTGACAATTTAATTGGTCTGTACCCAACTCTAAGATACTTGTATATACTTAATGTCTTTTTTAGTTCAAATGTTGAAGTTTAATCAAGTCACTTTTTCTTATTGGAATTACCTTATTAAAATCATCGAATTCCCTCGCTCTAGCGTAATCATAATTAGTTATTCTCAGCGATTCTGGAAGGAATGGTGTGTTATACTCCAAAACTTTGCTGGCGCTCTTCAGCAGTACATCACGAGTCTGTCCTGGATTCCTGAGGAATTTCTCCTCAAAGGCTATCGATGCAGACTGCATTCTCCCCCAGAAAGTGCAAATTTACGTGCAAATCACACAAACAATTTTGAAGAATGAAAAACAAAAATCAAGACATGATTTTCATTTATTTTATTCAATCATACGAAATTAATATCAAATGTACACTGGGCATTCTTAAAAATTCAAGTCTCATGAGCAAATTTAGCGGATGATGCAGTGGTAAATAAAATATAGCAGTCATGAAGAACGTAATACAATGAGGAATGATTAGTTAGGTCATGTGAGTCGATGATAGCAGTCGTTTCTAGGGATTTACAATCACAGTTATTTAACAATTTAGTCGACCTCGATCGTAGAAACACATTGAATTATGTCAGGTCTATGTAGCTGTCGATTTTACGATTCTTCGAGTCGTCCACTTTGCGCTTGAGGGATCCTTTCCTTGGTGAATTTGATTTGCTGGCCTGTCTTGTCACTGGAAATTGCTCGATCTTCATGTAGCCACCGAGACCATCTGGGACGTAACGATCGTCTGGTTTCGGAAGTCTTGTCTGAAACATTTGATTAAAATTTGATTAAAATTGTTATTTTAGTCAATTAATTACAAAAAAATACTGTTTGAAATTATTGGCTTTCAGTATTATTTAAAACGATTTTTTGTTTCTATTTTATGGAATATTTGAACAGTAGGTTATCATCAAAAACACATAATGACTGAATTTTTTATTGAAATGGTTTAATAAAATAGACAAGGCCATTTCAATTTGTCTGAAATAATGAACTTCAGTCAAACTTTCTATTCTTTTTTTGATAAAATATGATCAAATGCATCAAATGCAGCAGATAAAATAACACTGAACGAAATTGATTTTTTCAAACCTATTTCAAGCCACTTCCATCCCAAATTAATTGAATATGAATAATAAAATAGTGTTGCAACAGGCTAAAATGTTTCAGTTTATATTTCGATTAAATAGAACTCTACTTCACTTCAGTTTTATAAATGAAGAATCCCAATAAAAAGAAATCAGAATAAATTAATATTATTCAGTTTTCTAGACTAATAAACTCGAGATAAGTATTTCAACTCACAGTAGCAGTTGCAGTCAATCTCTGTTTCTTCTTCAAAATCGAACTCGAAGGAAGCTCTTTGGTACGCAAATTGCTGCAGTGATCCTTGGCTGATGTGACCTTGAAGGAATGCATGTGCACGAGGGGATCATTCTCCTCATCGTTTGAATCAGTACTTGGTGCCTGGGAAAAGCAGAATTATTTTTCAGATCTATTGGATAATTTCATTCATTTAAAATTCAACCATTTTAACTGCTATTATTCTAATTTGACCGATTCTCAATTATTCGTTTGATTGAATTTTAATCGAGAAATTGTGAATTTTTTTTCATTACCACTTTCGGTGAGTGATTCAGCTTCTTACGTTTCAGTGCTGGGAATTCTGATCTGGAATTGCGTTCTCCCTCTGCCTCGTTACCCTCTAGTCCCGTTTGTGGATTTTTCTCCAGTTTCTGACGCAAGCGTTTGTTCTGCTCCTCGAGGGCATCAATTTCTATCTCCAGTCCTCTATGGAGGATCATTTCATTGATTAATTCATTAGTGCAGTTGGAGATAATGATTTTTTGTATTTAATTTCAATATGAAAGATAATTAAATGGAGGATTAAATGAAGAAATTAAAATAAAAATGGAAATGGAAATGAAAATGAAAATGAAAAGTAAAATTAAAATTAATTAGGGGTTGCAATGGTCATTTAACAGGATTTAGATGATTAATTGGAGGCAGTGTTTACGTTTTGGCTGCCTCAAGTTGATTTTTCTCCTGTGACATGTTCTTCATATCTTCCTTCAGGTCCTTTATCACGTCTCGTAATTCTTTGCGACGTTGAACTTCAGATTCTAGTTGTCTGTGACAATAAAAAAAATATCGACATTACATTAATTGCAGGATTCACTGATGAAGATGAATAGTTTTTAATCACAATTTTTTGAATAATTTATAAATTTATTTTCCAAAATTTTTAGAAATTCGTTTAAAGTTTAGACAAAAAATGTTGACAGGAAAGTAATTGTTTAGAAATGTCATTCGAATCCATTAATTCTTATGCATTAATTTTTTGTGAATTTTTCTCATGCAATTCAACTAAAAACCCTCATTTTCGGGGCAAATAAATGATTATCAAAAGTGGAAATGAATCCTAACAATTTCACTCACCTTTTCAAAACCGAAACATAAACACCGAGTTTGGAGGCATCATTAGTGCTAGCTACAAGTTCATCAGCAGCATTTGCAGTGGACGAAAGTAGTTTCTGAACCCTAAAAATGAAAATTCGTGAAACTTTTCACATGAATTTCCAAAAAAAAAATTCTCAAAAATTACTAAAAAATAATTCTTCCAAGATGTAGGGGAGGATGGGGTAAAACGTACACTAGACTTTTTTAAAATTATTCATAACTCAGAAACAAATTCATCAATTGAGCTCAGTTCAGGCTCGTCCCAAAGGGAAAGAATTGTTCTTTGTATTGAAAAAAAAAATAGTAAATTTTATCAACATTTCAACCCCTCATTGACATTTAAAAAAAGTCAAAAGTGTCCGTTTTACCCCAACCCCTATTTATCTATTTTTTCAACTCCTCTTTCAGAAGATCGAGACAAACGAAGAAAGAGAGAGTTTGAATGAAAATCCAAATGAATAAAAAATAAACAAAGACGAAAAGTAATGCATAAATAAACTGTGATAAATTCCAAACCAAAATAAAACTAAAAAAGAGAAAAATGAAGTCTACAAAATGTAGAAATAACTGAAGGAAATATTTTCTTACGCTTTATATTCATCAATTTTCGACTTCAAGCTCTCGAATTTCGCTGCAATGACATTCTTCTCCTCAGCCTCAATCCTCAAGTACTTGGCCTGCTCCTTCAGAGCGAAGATGGCTGAGTCCTTCTTCGTGAGTTCATTCTCGCACTTGAGGACCTCAGCACGCAGTAGGTCCCTCTGTTTCTTCATCTCGTGGTACTTCCTCTGATTCTCATTGATGGAAGCGTCTTTCAGATCCAGCTGGAACTGCATGCTGTCCACGCGAAGCTGCAGGGCGCCTGCATCCTCTTTGATTGAGTCATTGGCGTTGAAATTGAAGTACAAACGGAAGATTTTATTGTTGGAGAGCTTTTCACGACATTGAGGACAATTTTTCGACCTGAAAGGAGTGAACAAAAGGTTGAATTCCTGCATCATTATCATTTTCTGAATGATGATAATGGATTATTGATAAAACAATTCAGCAGCGAAGTGGTAAAACGGTCTAAGTCACACGATCCCCAACATAAAAAAACAAATAATAAAATAAGAAATCCTTGATTAATAATTACCTCTCAAGCCACTGTGTCAAACAGGGCATGTGAAAAACATGTCCACAAACGGTCGAAAAAATATCGTCATTTCGATCCAAAAGGGAAATACAGATCGCGCAGGACGAGCTCTGCATCTTATCCGCGAAACTCCTCAAGGGTAATCATGAATCAATGGACTGCTGAGTCTAATTTCTCAAAAGCTGTCTGATAAAATCTCTTCCTCGATTGACAACGACGTCAGGAGGTCTAGGAGAGTGAGGTTATGCATAGAACTCTCGTGTTTCTATTTAAATGAAGGGCTCAACGGACTGCGGAGGGTGGGAGAGGTCTACGAGGGCTCCCATTGGCTCCTGTGTTCCTCTCTAGGCGAATCGGCCAATGGGAAGGCTCTGGAGGCACTCGCTGGCTCTCATTGGCTCACACACGTGAAGTGAGTGCGTGCGCTTGGCGCATGTGGAGAGCGTGTGACAGCTACACAACAGTTCTTCCGGCTTCAGTGCACTTCAGTCATGTCCGCGATACGCAGTTCTGTGTTTATGAAAGTATTTGATAACACTGGAGGATTCTTGGAACACTAAAGACTTTTTTTTTAAATACATACGCGTAATATGTAGTGGCCTTGGTCAGCTTCAGGTACGTAAATCAGTCCTTATCTACTAGCCTGGGGAAGCAATACGGTGGGGAAATTGTTTAACCTTGTGAGGGGACTCGAATGTTCGTTAGTTGGGAGCAGGGTTGGGCGTGCAAATTACGTTGGTATATTACACCGTTTTTTACTGACGTAATTTACGTAAATTACCTCGACGGGTTGACATTTTTTGACATTTTTTACATTACTTCGAAAAGCTTGCAATTTTCGGTTACTAGAGTTTTATTTTATTCCGACAGACGAACACAGACGAAAACATTTAATAGAAAAACTATCGAATTCGTTAGAGAATTCTATTGAATTTCTATTGAACTGTTCTATTAGTTTTTGGCCGATTCTACTGAAATGTTCAATAGAAAATATTCAGTAGAAAAAGTCAATAGAATTCAATTTTTCTATATAACTTATTCTACTGAGATATTTTCTATAGAATTTCCTCCGCTCAAATTTTCTAAGTTTTTTCGTTTGATTTTCTGTTGACTTTTTCTATTGAATTTTTTCTATTGAACATGTCAATAGAATTAGCCAAAAACTAATAGAAAGTTTAATAGAAATTCAATAGAATTTTCTAACGAATTTGATAGATTTTTCTATTAAATTTTTTCGTGCGTGAAGACGCAATATTGGACACATCCATATAATAAAAAATAGTATATTATTTCCCGATGAAGACAAGTAAACCGCAAATTTTAACTTCACTTCGTTTCGTTAGAACGCGATTCTCGGTACTTGGGATATAAAATACCATTTTATGTCTCTAGGGCCGTAAAAGAGCGGTAACATCGATTCCCTCGGTTAAATCGCGGTTTCCGGGCCCAGAAACATAAACTATTGTATGTCACACGGCGATGAAAGTATAAACCTCAAGAACGACCACCTCCATCACCATCATCACCTCCTCAGCTTCGGCTCGGATTATAAAGCTACATTCGCCAGATAATACTTTTATCGCCGTGTGACATGAAGAACCATTTTGTTCTGAAGTATTGGGATATGGGTAAAAGTGGATAAATAAATGTAGTAACGCAATGAATACTTTTAACTTGAACTCTTTATTATTGGCACGAGGAAGGCACGACTGTACTAGAGGACCGTTGTCCAGAGACTAAATTCTAACTATTTGAAAAACCTTTACTGAGGGAAAAGCAAGACAAAGTTTATGACTCCAGAGGACAGAGTTTCCTTTGAATTTCTACATGTGGTAAGGATTGCAACGCTCTCGAGTTCGGAGCACAACGGATCATAAATTAGTCCTTTTCTGGGGACTTTCCCCAACACGTCATAAACCTTGTCGAGTGATTTTTGAAGAAAAACAGAAGAGCTGTGTTCAAATATTCCAACATGAAGAGATCAATAAAGCTACCAAAGCCAATTAAATTAGTTTTGTCATTTTAGAATGCTGAATGAAACAAGTTAATGTCAAAACAAAAGATGATGACGCGACGAATTCAATAGAGATCAATAAATAACGAGGTTCACCCTTGTAAATATCATCCCGTACACGGTATGACCCTTACGAGGTGTGACCCTCAAGACGTATGATCCTTGCGAGGTATCATCTTCGCGAAATTTCACGCTTTACGATAGAAGCTAACGTCGGTTGGTTTTTTTACATTTTTTTTCATTTATTACGTAAATTACGGGGTTTTTTTACACTGTCATGTAAAAAACTGCGATTATCGACAGATGCCCAACCCTGGTTGGGAGGAATAATCGTCATATTGTCGATTTTAATTAGTTCAATTGCTTTTAGGGAATAATCGATACTCGAAACGAAATGAAAGTTCTTTGATTTCGAATATCTTTGGAACTAACGGTCCAATTTGGGCGAATTGCGTCTCGTTTTCAAGCTTCGGAAATTATCTTCAAAATGAAAAAAAAATTGTCATTTTTCACTCTGCCAGTTTCGAGTTATCAAAGATTGAAGACGCTATTTTGGTCCGATAGTTATTCCCTCTTTTTAGATGAAGGATGAAAAATATACTTTTGTTCATTTGCGAATATCTCCGGAGCTGATGATGCGATTTGAATTGGTAGGGGCTCATTTTAAAGCTTGAAGAATTACCTTCAAAAAGAAAAGAAAATCATTCAATTTCACTTCGCGGGTGTCAAGTTATTCCGAATTGAAAAAGAGCATTTTTTCTTTTTTTCTTCTCGAAATGTTTGCTTAGTGTATTTGTTTCTGTTATTTGTTTCAGGTACAGTTAATAAAGTATTGAAATAGATGACGATGACAGAGTTAGTGACAGATGCGCTACCGGCGCAGAAAAACATTCCCAGGATAAATGATGACTCGAGTATCGATATGGAGGTGCTAAAAAACGTCGAGAAAGACTTGGAAGATTACGAGAAGTTGAGTCTTCTCTTCTTGATTCTAGACGATTTTCATTGTTTTAAAGAGGTTTATGAAGCATTCTGCGGGCAGAATGTGGAGAAAATTCTCTCTAGGTTTGTTGGGAAGATCAACTACTGGCAGACGAAGTTCTTTGAGGGTCTCTGCATCACAAAGGCAAAAAAAGAAATCAGAATGCTGGGGAAAAGCTACGAAGAATTGGAGAGGATCTACGTGCCCCAGGCCATGACAACTGATCCTACGATTCCGAGCGGGCCTCGAGTTCATCCGGGGGCAAGACTTCTGTTCGAATTATTCGATAATGTTCTCAATGACGAGCAGAGGGAATCGCTGTTGAGGAAAATTTATGGGGAGATTCGGCCCCCTGAGTTGAAGAATGATGATCCTATGGAGATTCATGCTCTTTATTGGATGAGAGAGGGATTTATCAGTCTGTCTTCAGGTGAATATTATGTTTATATTGATTATATTCGGGATAATTCATCTAGAAGTAGAAAAATGACAATGTTTTAAAACATAAACGAATCTTCATAAATGAAAAAATCAACAAATATTCTCTATTCATTATGAAAAAAAAATCCAACAGACTAATTAATTGCTTAAAAAGAACGAATGAATAAAACTGAAGTTCCGTTCATGTATTTAAGGTGTTTCGGTTGAAAAGTCAAAAAAATGGAAAATTCATGGGAGAAATTTCTAAGTATGCTATAATCATTGAGAATTCTTGCACATTTTCTTCAGATCTCAGTTTCAAGACAAAAATAATGAAATTTGAATGTTTTTGTAAACCCTCCAGCTATAACCTCCGAGGTTACCCCACTCTCAATTAGGGAAATTTCCATGGCACCCAAAAAAATAGTGAACTATTGAGGAAAAACGAGTGGGTGATAAATCAAATCTTTCTCGAGAACACGTATAAGTTTGCGATTTTTTTCACATTTCATAAGAAAGTTATTTGAACAAATGATTCGGAAAATTATGAGGCGCGTGATTCGAATGTCAGTGAGCATCATGGGAAAGACATGGGTTTTACCATGAAACTGAGAGAGAGAAAAGCTCGACAGGTTTACCAACTCGAGACGCATTTTAATATTATTTCAATAATTAGAATAACATCCAATAGACCTTTTCATTCTGAGAGTCACTAGATTTGCGGACACTTTTTTCCCATGTTAATTCCCCTAGGATTTGCGGACACTTTATCGAATTTACATATAAATCATGGTTTTTGAGCGCTCAAGTGTATATCATTGTAAAGTTCAATATTTATCAGAATTTTCCATGGTTTTTTCGGAGATTTTTTCGTTGAATGAACGAAATAAATATTTCCCCTAGATTTCCAGAATGAAAAGGTCTATAAAAATTATTCGACACCCGTAGGTGATGAGAAAAAAATCAATCAATCTGATAAATAAAACCACCATTCAAAAAATGTTCAAATGCACACTTGAACAGTTACTTGAAAATTGAAAAATTTCGTGCTCAGCGATTGAATCAGGGCTCGAGAACAATAGGACTCCCCTTCCGTTTCACCCCAGTGATCTACAGACGAAACACCTTAAACGAATGAAACAATCCGAGTCTGACCTCAAGCCATGAATTTCAGACGGTCGTGGGAACGTCCAGAACCTTTTGAAGCCCCTGAAGTCCCTGGGCCTCTCGGACCACCCCACCTACCTCGACCTCCAGAAATACTCCGAGAAGGCTCCCCTGAAGGCCCCCACCCCCCCACATCACGCATCGACTCCGAACCATCACAACCAGCCCCCAGTCTCCAATTTGATCAAATCTGCATACGTTATCATTCTAAATGTCATCACAGTCTCTGACAGCGACTACGAGGATAGAACCAGCAGCAACGTCGACGTCTCCAGGCTCGACAGCACCTTCCGAGGGCTGGGGTACACCGTCAACATCTTCAACGACCCCACAAGCCCCCAGATCAAGGGAATATTAAACGATTTAAAGACAAACTTCGACAGGAGAAAACACGATGGCCTGATTGTCTGCATTCTGAGTCACGGAGTCGAGGGGCACTTCGTGTCCCACGACGGCGTCGAGGTGCCCCTGTCCTCGATAGAAAAATCCGTTTGCGTACCCCAGCTCCAGATGGTTCCCAAAATCGTCATGGTCCAGGCCTGCCAGGGGAACAAAATAGGACGCGCCATCAGGAACGATCTTGTGGCCGATGGACCCCCTGGGAATGCGGGCGAGAGGTGCGTCAACACTCTAGATCACGATCGGTTCCTCCAGTTCTCCTCGACGATGAGAGAGTGCAAGGCCATTCGCCACAAGGAGACAGGGTCGTGGTTCATCAATGCTGTCTGTGATGTGTTCTGCGAGCCCAGGGGGCAGGACTCCCCTCTCTCCGTCTACAAGTGGACACAGAGGGTGCAGTATCTCGTCAAGATGAACGAGGGGGAGTTGGAGAAGGGGCTCATGGCCACGCAACTGCCAGAGGTGACGTACCTCAGGTTCACTGAGGACTTTTATTTCCCGGTCTATCGAGGGGGCAGCTAGGGGCGGGGAACCGAGGGGTTGGGGGGTTTAAGGGGTGGGGTGTGGACTTTTTTTGAATTCTTGATGTCTTTGGATTTAAGCCCCCGATGGATTATTTTTCGAATGTTATCTCGATTGATTCTCCATCCTCACAATCTAAAATAGGGGAGGGTGGGGTAAAATGGACACTTCCCTTTTTTAAAAATATTCATAACTCATAAATATATTTATCAATTGAGCTCAGTCTAGGCTCATCACAAGGGGGAAGAATTGCCCTTTTTATTGAAAAAAAAAATGATACAATTTCATTAACAATTCAATGAGTCATTAGCATTTGAAAAAAAGTAAAAAGTGTCCATTTTACCCCATCGTCCATTTCGCCCCAGCTAGGGGCGGGGAACCGAGGGGTTGGGGGGTTTAAGGGGTGGGGTGTGGACTTTTTTTGAATTTTTGATGGCTTTCGATTTAAGCCTCCGATGGATTATTTTTCGAACGTTATCTCGATTGATTTTCCATCCTCACAATCTAAAATAGGGGAGGGTGGGGTAAAATGGACACTTCCCTTTTTTAAAAATATTCATAACTCATAAATATATTTATCAATTGAGCTCAGTCTAGGCTCATCACAAGGGGGAAGAATTGCCCTTTTTATTGAAAAAAAAAATGATACAATTTCATTAACAATTCAATGAGTCATTAGCATTTGAAAAAAAGTAAAAAGTGTCCATTTTACCCCATCGTCCATTTCGCCCCAGCTAGGGGCGGGGAACCGAGGGGTTGGGGGGTTTAAGGGGTGGGGTGTGGACTTTTTTTGAATTTTTGATGGCTTTCGATTTAAGCCTCCGATGGATTATTTTTCGAACGTTATCTCGATTGATTTTCCATCCTCACAATCTAAAATAGGGGAGGGTGGGGTAAAATGGACACTTCCCTTTTTTAAAAATATTCATAACTCATAAATATATTTATCAATTGAGCTCAGTCTAGGCTCATCACAAGGGGGAAGAATTGCCCTTTTTATTAAAAAAAAAAAATGATACAATTTCATTAACAATTCAATGAGTCATTAGCATTTGAGAAAAAGTAAAAAGTGTCCATTTTACCCCATCGTCCATTTCGCCCCAGCTAGGGGTGGGGGACCGAGGGGTTGGGGGGTTTAAGGGGTGGGGTTTGGACTTTTTTTAAATTTTTGATGGCTTTCGATTTAAGCCTCCGATGGATTATTTTTCGAACGTTATCTCGATTGATTTTCCATCCTCACAATCTAAAATAGGGGAGGGTGGGGTAAAATGGACACTTCTCTTTTTTAAAAATATTCATAACTCATAAATATATTTATCAATTGAGCTCAGTCTAGGCTCATCACAAGGGGGGAGAATTGCCCTTTTTATTAAAAAAAAAAAATGATACAATTTCATTAACAATTCAATGAGTCATTAGCATTTGAGAAAAAGTAAAAAGTGTCCATTTTACCCCATCGTCCATTTCGCCCCAGCTAGGGGTGGGGGACCGAGGGGTTGGGGGGTTTAAGGGGTGGGGTTTGGACTTTTTTTAAATTTTTGATGGCTTTCGATTTAAGCCTCCGATGGATTATTTTTCGAACGTTATCTCGATTGATTTTCCATCCTCACAATCTAAAATAGGGGAGGGTGGGGTAAAATGGACACTTCNCAGTATCTCGTCAAGATGAACGAGGGGGAGTTGGAGAAGGGGCTCATGGCCACGCAACTGCCAGAGGTGACGTACCTCAGGTTCACTGAGGACTTTTATTTCCCGGTCTATCGAGGGGGCAGCTAGGGGCGGGGAACCGAGGGGTTGGGGGGTTTAAGGGGTGGGGTGTGGACTTTTTTTGAATTCTTGATGTCTTTGGATTTAAGCCCCCGATGGATTATTTTTCGAATGTTATCTCGATTGATTCTCCATCCTCACAATCTAAAATAGGGGAGGGTGGGGTAAAATGGACACTTCCCTTTTTTAAAAATATTCATAACTCATAAATATATTTATCAATTGAGCTCAGTCTAGGCTCATCACAAGGGGGAAGAATTGCCCTTTTTATTGAAAAAAAAAATGATACAATTTCATTAACAATTCAATGAGTCATTAGCATTTGAAAAAAAGTAAAAAGTGTCCATTTTACCCCATCGTCCATTTCGCCCCAGCTAGGGGCGGGGAACCGAGGGGTTGGGGGGTTTAAGGGGTGGGGTGTGGACTTTTTTTGAATTTTTGATGGCTTTCGATTTAAGCCTCCGATGGATTATTTTTCGAACGTTATCTCGATTGATTTTCCATCCTCACAATCTAAAATAGGGGAGGGTGGGGTAACATGGACACTTCCCTTTTTTCAAAATATTCATAACTCATAAATATATTTATCAATTCAGTTCAGTCTAGGCTCATCACAAGGGGGAAAAATTGCCCTTTTTATTGAAAAAAAAAATGATACAATTTCATTAACAATTCAATGAGTCATTAGCATTTGGAAAAAAGCAAAAAGTGTCCATTTTACCCCACCCTCACCAATTTCCACGTGATTTTACATCACGTACGTAAAAATTATGACCGAAAGATAATACAGCGGGGTTTAATGGTGCGATTTGTGTGGAGAAATGACGATTGGAGAGTTCAATTTGTTGAATGTTTTTTAATGCTTGAAAAAATCGAGTTTTGTTCGGTCTTCAAAATCTCCGGAACAAATAGTGCGATTTTAATTGGTCTGAATTGGTTTTTAAGATTGAACAAGGATCTTGAAATTGAAAGAAAGTGGGTGAATTTCACTCAGCCAATCTTGAGATATTAACGATTGAAGGCAGGACTTTTGCCCCTCAAGCCCGATTTTTTTTGTTGATTCTGCATTTATCTCCTTTAAATCTAGGAGGAAGTGTCAAGAGACCTTTTTTGTAGCAACACATCCTGTTTCGATACCATCGAAAAACCCCAGGAAATCTTTTTATTCATTTTATGACAAGACAATTGTTCTAATTTGCCCTTTTAGAATACTTGAGAACCTGATCAGGTAGAATAATAATCCGTCGAGAAAGTAAAGATAATTCCCATTGATAAACACACCAGTAAAATTTCTAAATTTTCGATCTATTTTTAAGGAAAACTCTCTTTCAATGATGTTTCAATTTTTACAATGCCAATTTATATGATATTAATCCTCTAACTTTTATTCACAGACCAAATACGAAATATTTTCGTATGGAAATATTAAAAAATGCTGTGATATGCGTTTCGTACTTTTCACAGAGGAAAATATATATAAAATGTTTGAATAATTATAAGTAAAATAACAAGTTTTTTAAGCTTGAGCTGTAATTAAGGGAGAGAATTGAACTGGATTATTTATTGAATAAACAGTCCTGTCGTGAGCAATGATTTTTTATTTACTTGTTCATGGAAGGAGTCGAGAGAATTTGAAGATTCTCCCAAGGAGTTTATCACCGAAAATCGATGATGATAAATCTCATGTTTAAGGCCCAGGGGACTAGCGAATTTCGTGACGGGTTATGCACTAGCCACTAGTTAACTATGGCATCTTCCTTCGAATGACGATTTTTTGGGTACGAAAATTATCGTTCAATCCTCCAATCACGCATTGTCGAGGATAAATTTCTTTGGCTCTTCATTTTCTTTTTTATGAGACTTTGTTTTTCACTGTCATCTGGACTGTCAAATTGTAGAGGTGTGAAAATTTGTGGACGATTAGGTATACCATTCCCAGGTACAAACTTATTGCTATCGTGAGGAATAGATCGAATATGGCTGGCTTGACACTGAAACGGAAAAATTAATTGAAGTTTATTTGAGTTCAGAGGAAAATTACAAAAGTTTTTTTGGAGATGATTAATTTTCCTTTAATCCTTCAATCTGTTTATTTCATAAAATGACTTATCCCGATAATTCAAAAATTAATGAAGAGTCTACTTTTTGAAAACACTGATGAATTTATCTGTCAAAAAGATTTTCTATAAAAAAATGTTTTGACATTTTTTCTAAAACCAAAATAAATAAAAATAAAGATGATTAGGTTTTTTATTAAAAAAACCTAGATGTTCTTTTCATAAAATGACTTGTCATCACAATAATTCGAGAGTTAATGATGAATTAAGAATAAATTAAAATATAAACAAGAAAAATCAATGAATTAATGTAATGTAACGTACCTGTAGACATTCATATTCGTCTTGGAAATATCGTAAAATACAAACTCCGGATCTCTCTTGTCAGGCGTATGAAACGTCGTCCTGACGTCTATCAAATAACGTGACATTATTTCTTGAAGAGAATTAACTAGTGGATTGTTTTTATCAGCTAAAAGTGGCACTGATCTCGATTGAGAAGTTAAGTAACTCATCCAGACGCTCAAGGACTCTTTCGAGACTTCCTAGAAGCAAAAAACCCCAGATTTTTAATAAAAATAAAATTACAACAAAAATTTAATTTAATTCTATTCATGAAATTCTCGTAAAAATAATACAGTGAATAATCTGAATTGCGAATTGACTATTAAAAAAATAATAAATTTCTTGCAACAACTCTAAATTAAAATCAGTTGATTATTCGTAATTTCATAAGAAAGTTATTTGAACAAATGATTCGGAAAATTAGGAGTTTCGGGGCAATTACGCCCTCACGCACGGGCGCGTGATTCGAATGTCCGTGAGTATCATGAGAAACAAAAAACCCCAGATTTTTAATAAAAAACAGACGATAAATCGATTGCTACTAAAATTACAACAAAAATTTAATTTAATTCTATTCATGAAATTCTCGTAAAAATAATACAGTGAATAATCTGAATTACGAATTGACTATTAAAAAAATAATAAATTTCTTGCAACAACTCTAAATTACAATCAGTTGATTATTCGTAATTTCATAAGAAAGTTATTTGAACAAATGATTCGGAAAATTAGGAGTTTCGGGGCAATTACGCCCTCACGCACGGGCGCGTGATTCGAATGTCCGTGAGTATCATGAGAAACAAAAAACCCCAGATTTTTAATAAAAAACAGACGATAAATCGATTGCTACTAAAATTACAACAAAAATTTAATTTAATTCTATTCATGAAATTCTCGTAAAAATAATACAGTGAATAATCTGAATTACGAATTGACTATTAAAAAAATAATAAATTTCTTGCAACAACTCTAAATTACAATCAGTTGATTATTCGTAATTTCATAAGAAAGTTATTTGAACAAATGATTCGGAAAATTAGGAGTTTCGGGGCAATTACGCCCTCACGCACGGGCGCGTGATTCGAATGTCCGTGAGTATCATGAGAAACAAAAAACCCCAGATTTTTAATAAAAAACAGACGATAAATCGATTGCTACTAAAATTACAACAAAAATTTAATTTAATTCTATTCATGAAATTCTCGTAAAAATAATACAGTGAATAATCTGAATTGCGAATTGACTATTAAAAAAATAATAAATTTCTTGCAACAACTCTAAATTAAAATCAGCTGATTATTCGTAATTTAACAATAAAATTTTATATTTGATATCAACTGATTTTTCATGTGACCAATTCAATTTGTTCACATGTTTGATCCCATTCAATTCCAACAGATTCAAAAAACTTGTATTACCACAGGGGGTGAGAATATTTTCGTTGAGTTAACTCCATACAAATGCCTAGCTAAAGCCTCAGCAACAATGGAAGTGTGTCTGTGAAGCTTGTCAGTCTGTCCCTCTCTCGTCACATCGAGAATTGAAGTTCTCCCTGGATCATCGTGACTCTTCAAACTCGATAAAGTCGCTGCTGGGAGACGTCTTATGCTGTACCTCTCGTGCTCCCAAGCCAGACTCTCCTCTGCAAGATTTATCTTCTTGTGGATGCCCTCGATTTTTGTCCCACCAATGACCTGAGCTACTGCACTCAATTCTTTGTAGAATAAACTGCCGAAGGAGTTCTCCTTCGGGGGCTTCGACACGTGGAGGTAGAGATCGTCGGACTTCGATACTGAGTCGAGGCAAATCACGTATGAGGCGTCCTGATGATCATTCAAAGTATTAAAAACATAAATTTAACATGCAAAAAACTTTTAATGCTCAATGAGATTATTTTCGATTTTTTAAAATTTGTTTTGTTTAAATTCATGATCTTTCAGGTTTATTAGCTCCGTCACGAGTGGATCCAGACGAAAATGTCGTGAAACTTTTTTGTAGGAAATTTTTTGAGCTAGAACAATGGTCTTTTGACATTTTTTGCTAAAATAACTCGTTAATTAGATAATTTCGAAATCAATAAAATTTCATATTTTAGTTTTTTTGGCCAATTAAAATTTGTGATATTTTCAGGAGCAATATCTCGGTCGTGAATTGATTTAGGAAGAAATGTCATAAAATATTTTTTGTAGAGAATTTTATGAGCTAGAAAAAATATCTTTTGAGATTTTACTCTAAAATACCTCGTTATAGAGATAATTACGGTTTCAAGAACAGAAGTCTTGTGACTGCATTTGTTTTCTCCACTGAATTTATCGAATTGAATCCCAATTTTTTATGAATGAATGAATAATCACCTGAATGACAGAGCCCTCAACACCATCGAACTGATCCTCAAGCCACTTTTTACTCCCCTGATAATTCAATTTGCCAGCACCACTCAGAAGAAACACAATATTATACTTCGCTCGTGATTTATTGATCGAGTAAAGAGCTGAGAATAATCTAGCCAACTCCAGGAGCATAGAGACACCTGACGCATTGCTTTCTGCCCCAAAAGATAATTCCTACGGGAAAAACAAAAATCAGTCGACATTCACCACTAATTACAATCCAGTAATAAAGTACGAACGTAAATTAATTTCTTTTCATTTCAATTTTTGAAAATATCTCAAAATCTACGCGAGATAGCGAAATATTCGTGAAGTCATTTTTTGTAGCTCTTGAAATTCTCCACAAAAAAGGTCTCAACAGCATTTTCGCTATCTCCCTTAGATTCGGAGATAATTATAAATAACGAATTGATTGTAAAATCAAATCGAGTCATTTTTGGATTTTTCGGGCTTTGGTTTTTTACAGCAATTGCAGAATAAAAGGGAGTGGAGTACTTACAGTGGCAACTGAACTACTGTCATAATGAGCAACTAATGCAACTGTTGGCAATTTCTCTTCGACCCCAGCACCAGCCAATTTTCCCTGAATAGTGGCGATTTTAACGTCCGTTTTTGGCATTGGCTGACCAGTTGCCACAATCACTTGGTATCCACTCGCAGATATGGAATTTATCAGATTCTGTAGCTCTGAGTTGGCTTTTGCGTCTGTTATCAGGCCGTGCTCGAGATCATTGAGGATTGTTTGGAGATCGGAGTTCCAGGGAGAGAAGTAGACTGGAATTGTTGTCTCTCCACTGGACTCCATGGAGACCTCGAGCGACAAAATGTGCTTTAAATCAAGAAAATGTAACGAATGAGCGAATTTATTGAGCGAAGGGGTTGTTGCTTAATTGGGACAGATGAAGAGAGACCTATTACGTAGAAAATAATTTAGTTGTGACTCAATCCACTTCAAGAGAAAGAGAAAACAATTTTAATTGATGAAACGAATTCTGCAAAAATATCTGATGAAGTTAGCGCTCAATATCTGGCGATTGGCAGAGTGGAATTCAACGAGTCTGGCCTCATTTTAAAGATCTTTTCTGGAGCTTTGAGATGGAAAAAAATCGTGGAATTCGCATCGTTGGTTCGCGAGATATTGGAGATTTTGGAAACATCAATTCGAGAAATTAAGGAAAATGAGACATTGGTGAAGTACCTGGTGCTCGTCTTGGGTCAGACTCTTCATGTCCTTCGGCAGCATGAGGATAAGAGCACCAGCCTTGCTCTTGATTGTGTAAAATACGTCGGGCGTGATATCGGATAATCTCGCGATGACGCAGTGCCTAGAAGTCTGCCAGCTATTGAGGGTTCTGGCTTCTAGCTGTATCGAGGCACTTCTGCATCCTGGGAATTTTGGTAATAACTCAGTCGTTGTGAATTTTAAGCGGAAGATTTTATTCCTATGTTCAGAGATAGCGAAATTTTCATAGTAATCTTTTTTGTAGAGCCAATTGAGAGCTACTAAAAAAATTATGAGAAAAAATTTGCTATCTCCCTTAGATTTCGAGATATTCGTTGAAAACTGGCCAATATCAAAAATCGACTTAAACCTTTTGACCACCTCGCTACTCAATTATTTATAGAAAATGCTTATAATTTTGAAAAATTGCAATTTTTCAATAATTTCATAAATATCATTTTGTTCATTTTTTCATTTTTAATAATTTTTAATAATTTCAATCTTCCCCCAAAACTAACTTTTCTCATGTTGTTCAGATTTTAGAAATATTTTCTAACGATGTAATATCGAGATTAAAATAAAGACCTGCAAACTTTAAATAATAAAATCATTGTAAAATGCCCGGAAAGTTAAGAACAAATGCGGCTCAAATGAAAGCTCTAACGTTCGATTACAAAAGAAGAAAGGCCTTTCACTGGAGAAAAAATAGTCAAAGTGCTAAATAAAATTCATGATTGGAAATGATGTGTTCAAATGAAACAATTCCTTGTTGGTAATCATCATAAAAGGATTTCATGAATTCAAATTCCACATCTACATGGAGTGACACATCATCCCCCTGATTAATGCATGGATTTCATGAGATAAAAATCGATCGACGAAACATTTACCATGAGCCACTCCGTGGAGGTCGTACTGGTGCATTCTGTAGACTGGTAATTCGTGGGATGCAGTCACGGGATTCACTGGTGATACCACGATAAATATCGGGAGCACTATGAGCAGGTAGTAAGGTAGATAACCTCTACACAGCTCCGCAAACCCATCGCACTCCTCTAACCACATTTTTTCCACTCGAACTGGAGCACTAGCTTGTTAAAAATGAACTCAACCTAGAGTTCGTCCGATTAATTTTGGGGTTCTCGGTAATTTTATCGTTTTTTTATCTAAAAACCTGAATTCTTGACTGCCTTCTCGTGACCACCGACGAGGGAATGCGAGGATCTGGGCCACTGCGAGCATGTAAAGCCCGTAATTGAATTAAATGGCTGAGACCGACCAATGGGGTCACGTCTAGTCTTCTGCGATGCTCCGTGAGGTTGATGCGATTGGGTAGAATAATGTGGATATTTCCGACAATTTTTTTAATGACGAAATTATTTAAAAAAAGGTTCAGACTTTTAGAATTTCAATACATCAAGATGTTATTGATGTTCAAGCAATGAACATCGATGACATTTTCATAATAAAAATTTCATAACAAGAACTGCAGGAAAAATCCCAGTAAAAAATAGCGGTTTTCGTCACAAGGTCGAAAAAAACTTTTCATCACGCTGTGACGAAAAGTGAACTTTTCGGCACGCTCCGCGTGCCTAAAAGTCCAATTTCCGCCACATTGTGATGAAAAATATTGTTCGTAACTCGTGAAAAAATGTTTTTTCTGCCCTCCGGCCGGAAAGCGTCAACTTCCTGGCCGCTGCGCTAAACAAAGTTGCCACTTTCCGGCTTCTGCGATGCTCCGTGAGGTTGATGCGATTGGGTAGAATAATGTGGATATTTCCGACAATTTTTTTAATGACGAAATTATTTAAAAAAAGGTTCAGACTTTTAGAATTTCAATACATCAAGATGTTATTGATGTTCAAGCAATGAACATCGATGACATTTTCATAATAAAAATTTCATAACAAGAACTGCAGGAAAAATCCCAGTAAAAAATAGCGGTTTTCGTTACAAGGTCGAAAAAAACTTTTTCATCACGCTGTGATGAAAAGTGAACTTTTCGGCACGCTCCGCGTGCCTAAAAGTCCAATTTCCGCCACATTGTGATGAAAAATATTGTTCGTAACTCGTGAAAAAATGTTTTTTATGCCCTCCGGCCGGAAAGCGTCAACTTCCTGGCCGCTGCGCTAAACAAAGTTGCCACTTTCCGGCTGCGTCGAGCAGAAAAATAGTATACACACCTTGGCCAGTAAATAAGAAAGCCTCAGATCACATGTTTGTTGACCTCGGCTTCGCCTCGGCCGACAATTACATGTGATCTGAGACATTCCTTACTTTACTGGCCAAGGTGTGTAATCTACTATTTAGCTCGTGGGATTATATCACTCGTCTTCGGCTCGTGATATAAACCCCCCACTCGCCAAAAAACACTTTTTTGCACTCGTTACGAAATATACTATATTTTGACGAGTGCGGGGCGGGCCCGAGGAATGCAATCACACGAGTTAGAATTTTTTTTTCTGCCACGGCGGGCGCAAAGTGCCCCTTTCCCCCCGCAAAGCGGAAATCGGACTTTGGGCCAACGCTGTGGTGGAAAATGACGTTATGACAGCGGGAAGTAAAATAAAGGACCTTTACCCACGTGCGTATTACCCGAGCCGAAGGAGAGGGGCACGACTCCTTTATTTTCCCTCCCTTGGTAGGGAATGTACTATTTCGGCCCAATGACGAAATATACTATTTCTTCACATGTGTTCGCAAAAAGACGTTTTACAGGTGCGGGCCAATGTCGGGCCAGAGGTGGCCCAGTGTCGGGCCATGGGTGGCCCAGTATCGGGCCGATGTCGGGCCAACGTCGGCCCAAGGTTGGCCCCCTAATAAGGCTATAATTTCAAAGGAAATAAGGTGATGGCCACTATTTTCGAGCTCGACCCAAATAACATCCAAACGAATATTTTAAGCCATAATTGAAAAGATTTCGATGATTATTCTTTGAGTCTATAAACTCTGAAGGGGATTTCCCCCAGAAAAAATTGCCTGAACTACTTGGATATCCTTAAAACATCGTCGATCCCTAGCATAAGGTATCGCTCCCCTGCCGCCATCTCGCGCCCTCCCCCGGCGGCTCCCTCCCTTCTTTACCGCCGGCGTGGGGGTGCCAGGCCGAGCGCCCGAGAGCCCATCGAGACTGTTGCGAGTGTCACCGCGATAGAAGTGTGTGTGCCACGGCAGCGCGTTGAACACCGTCCCCTCTCTCTCCCCCCACTGCATGTTCCGCAATCGTTCGTCGTCGCCTTGCGAAAAGGAGTATTCAATCGTATTTAATACCTGAAAATTGTCGTCATAACGCCGCCCCCACGCCCCCGCAAGTGCTCAAAACAACAGTAATTGTTCAGTGAATTAATCGTATAATTAACTATCGGTAAACAAGGGGGAGGGGGGGAGGCTCGTCGGACTGCAATCGGTTTTTAAAATGCCGAACAAAGGGAATCGGGGTGAAATGCAATAAATCGCTCGTTTCGGTGATTTGTTTGACAAGTTTCTTGCGCTTTTTTGTGCTGCACTGAGGAGACACTGTTGGCAGCCCAAACCGGAGCATGAGATAAAATGGATTTTAAGAGTGCGGTGTACATCGCTGCCAGGGACGGAAAACTCAAGCGTCTCAAGGTAAAGTGAATTATCTTCTTTTTTTATGAGGGATTTTTCGAGGGGGAAAGGTCGGGGACCTCCTGTTGCCAGGTAGACGGTACAGCCCGGGGGATTGTTTGGAGAGGAACCTTTGTCGTGAGATTTTCATGACTCAAGGCCTTTTGGGAAGAACTCGGGGCGATGATCAGTTGGGATGGACTGGGAAAAATAAACAATGTGCATTTTGTTTGTTTTTTTTTTGGGGGGGGGGAGATATTTTTTGTTTTTGAGTTTTGAGAGAAGCTTTGGCGACACGAAGGACTCGGAAATTTTAGGCAAAGTTGAATTGATGGGGTTTTTTTTTTCATTGAGAGAACAGGGGAAAATTTTTGTTTGACGGGTAGGGGAGGTTGGGGTAAAACGGACACTTTTAACTTTTTTTTAAATGTTAATGAGGGGTTGAAAGGTTGATGAAATTTAATAATTCTTTTTCAATACAAAGAACTATTCTTTCCCTTTGGGAAGAGCCTAAACTGAGCTCAATTGATAAATTTGTTTCTGAGTTATAAATGATTTTTAAAATGTCTGAAGTGTCCATTTTACCCTACCCTTGCCTATTTAATTTGTTTGGAGGGGATTGCACGGTTTTGATGAGTCGGGTCTCGTTTTGAAGGTTGAGGGAAAATCTCGAGGATGAAAAAAAAATGATGAATTTTCAGTTGGGATGGACTGGGAAAATAAACATTGTGCAATTTTGTATGTTTTTTTTGGGGGGGGGGGGGGGGGGGGAGATATTTTTTGTTTTTGAGTTTTGAGAGAAGCTTTGGAGACACGAAGGACTCGGAAATTTTAGGCAAAGTTGAATTGATGGGGTTTTTTTTTTCATTGAGAGAACAGGGGAAAATTTTTGTTTGACGGGTAGGGGAGGTTGGGGTAAAACGGACACTTTTAACTTTTTTTTAAATGTTAATGAGGGGTTGAAAGGTTGATGAAATTTAATAATTCTTTTTCAATACAAAGAACTATTCTTTCCCTTTGGGAAGAGCCTAAACTGAGCTCAATTGATAAATTTGTTTCTGAGTTATAAATGATTTTTAAAATGTCTGAAGTGTCCATTTTACCCTACCCTTGCCTATTTAATTTGTTTGGAGGGGATTGCACGGTTTTGATGAGTCGGGTCTCGTTTTGAAGGTTGAGGGAAAATCTCGAGGATGAAAAAAAAATGATGAATTTTCAGTTGGGATGGACTGGGAAAATAAACATTGTGCAATTTTGTATGTTTTTTTTGGGGGGGGGGGGGGGGGTGGAGATATTTTTTGTTTTTGAGTTTTGAGAGAAGCTTTGGAGACACGAAGGACTCGGAAATTTTAGGCAAAGTTGAATTGATGGGGTTTTTTTTTTCATTGAGAGAACAGGGGAAAATTTTTGTTTGACGGGTAGGGGAGGTTGGGGTAAAACGGACACTTTTAACTTTTTTTTAAATGTTAATGAGGGGTTGAAATGTTGATGAAAAATTGAAGGTTGAGGGAAAATCTTGAGGATGAGAAAAAATGATGAATTTTTCGCTCTGCCGATGTCGGGATATTTTTTTTTTGAGATAAATGAAGTTTTATTTGGTATTAGGGAGATCTGGTACTAGCGCTTTTTAATCGTTCAAATTTAAATTTTGGATTTTTTTGTTATGTTGATCCGGTATGATCCAAAAATGCAATTTTTCTTTAATTCTTTAATTTTCTTTAATTCGTTAATGAGTGGGTGGAATTGAATCTTTTTAATGGTGCGAAACCGTAACAATTATCTTGAAAATGAGAAAAAAATTCATGCAATTTCGCTCTGCCGATCTCAAGATATTGAGGATTAAAACCTTCATTCTGAAAAAAAAATCATTTTTTCTAAAAAAAAGAACTCTTGTTAAATATTAAATATCTCTGGAGCTTATAGTTCAGTTCAGACGAGTCTGGAATCATTTAAAAACCTGAAAAATCCCCTCCAAAATGAAAAAAAAATTGGAAATTGCCTCTACCAGTTTCAAAATATTCAAAATTGAATAATTCTACGAGAATTTATTCCGAGACGAGCATGCACTTCACATTTTCTTCACTTGCCGATATCTCCGAAACGAGCGGATGAATTCGAAAAAATTCGATCTCGTTTCATCCACAAAAATACCAAAAATCAAAATGAGAAAAAATCTTTGATTTCCCTCTGCCAATCCTGAAATAATGACGATCGATTTCTGTTTTCCACTCCCTCCTCAATCACAAATAGAAGAAAACAAAATTGGAATGTTTGGATTGTTCCCCCGGGCTGGGACCAACATAATTCCCCTTTCTTTCCACCCATGTTATGTGTGTATTTTCGTGGGCAGCAGAACACGAAACATCGAGAAAATACCGCGTTATTAACGATGATTCACACGTTTCCATTCGTCAGAACACCATATGTTCTCTCAGCGCTCTATTCCCTCGTTTTTTTTGCATTGACGGAGAGGTCAATGGTACATCGACTCGACGTAATTCAAGGGAGTGATGAGTATTCAACGGGCTTCATTCGAGTGGATGACATTGTCATGAAAAAAGGCACTTTGGCAACGACAAATTGAGAGGAATGGAGAAATAGGGACGAAGATGTTGAGGGTTTATATTTAGAATTTTGAATATATGAACCGGGTTATGTGGACGTCTGGCGGGCAGCATTCAGCTTATCAAAATGCCGCAATGTAAATACCAGAATTTCAATGAATTAATTTCGCTATTTAATCTCGTCTTTTTCTCGTTTTTTAGTTTTACGAAACAAACATTGGGGGGATTTTCCTTATTTTTTTTCCAGGGATTGAGGGTCAAAGATATTTCTTGCTTCGCGCAATTAACCTAGATAATTAGTAAATAAACTGATGGATGAAATACCGAGCGTTTTATCGATGTTTCAGGGTTTTGTTATTACTGGATTCTCGTTGACCTTCAAAAATCCGCATTTAGGCGGTCGAGATCGGAGATTTGGGATGGAAATTTACGGGAATAGATTTTTTACTGACAATATTGGCAGCTACAAAGCAAAATATATTCAGCAAAAGCTGATCGAGTGGATTTACTCTTTCTGTTTTGGGATTTTGTTTATTGAATTGTTTCTGGAAAGATTTTCTTTATTGGGACTGAATTTTTCACCCTTCGGCAGAATATGAAATACGCAGTGTGCCATACAGCTCATTAAAAAATTAAAATGCTTAAAGAATTAATTTCGTTTTTTAATTTTGAGAAATTACACATTGGGGGGATTTCCTTCAGTTGAGCGAATTATTCGAGAGATTGAGGGTCAAAGATATTTCCCGTTGCGCGCAATTAACCTAGATAATTAGTAAATAAACTGATGGATGAAATACCGAGCGTTTTATCGATGTTTCAGGGTTTTGTTATTACTGGATTCTCGTTGACCTTCAAAAATCCGCATTTAGGCGGTCGAGATCGGAGATTTGGGATGGAAATTTACGGGAATAGATTTTTTACTGACAATATTGGCAGCTACAAAGCAAAATATATTCAGCAAAAGCTGATCGAGTGGATTTACTCTTTCTGTTTTGGGATTTTGTTTATTGAATTGTTTCTGGAAAGATTTTCTTTATTGGGACTGAATTTTTCACCCTTCGGCAGAATATGAAATACGCAGTGTGCCATACAGCTCATTAAAAAATTAAAATGCTTAAAGAATTAATTTTGTTTTTTAATTTGGAGAAATTACACATTGGGGGGATTTTCTCCAGTTGAGCGAATTATTCGAGAGATTGAGGGTCAAAGATATTTCCCGTTGCGCGCAATTAACCTAGATAATTAGTAAATAAACTGGTGGATGGAATGCCGAGCGTTTTATCGATGTTTCAGGGTTTTGTTATTACTGGATTCTCGCTGACCTTCCAAAATTCGTATTTAGATCGGAGATTGCAACTGATTCATTTGTTTTCTCGGTTTATGGGGGTTGTTATGGCTCTATTGCAAATACTATTTGCCAATTTGGCAAGTGTTATCAATTATTTGTCCATTTCTCGAGATAATTGTGGAGGGAAATTGGGAAAAGTCGACTCTTCTTGAGGGTGGGATGGAAATTTATTATTTAGTTTATGGGAAATTTTTTATTGAGAGTATTGACATCTGCAAATAAAAATATGGAGATTTCTCCAGTTAGATTCAGAGATTTCAGGAAAAGCGAATTCGAAATTGGATTTCACTTCTTCTGTTTTGGGATTTTTTCGGACAAATTTTCATTTTGTTCAGACGTTTTTTAGTGTGGGATTTTTCTTCTGAATTATTTCTGGAATGGTTTTCTTTATTGAGTCTGAAGTTTTTACCTTTCGGCGGAAAATACGTCGCAATACTCAATTCCCAAAGTAGTTTCAATGTTTACTTGACTTATTCACTTTAAAAATCTATTTCGTTGGAGTTTTGCGGACTGCATGATGTGGCAAATAGGAAGTGCAGCGACAGATACCTCACGCAACTAATAGCAATATTGATTTGTCACCTGCGGGCGCTAATTCTCAGGAATAATGTGATCGGAAAAGCTGACAATGGCAGTAGTTCAAAGAAGTGACGTTGTCACTCGATATTTTTTTCTTATGCGTCTATATTCTCGCAAACGAGTGGTTTTAGGAAACAATGTGTCGATACATTTTTTGTAGGATATTTTATCAGCTACAAAAAATGTCGTATGAATTTTTTTCCTAGAACCACTCATCAATGAGATAATTAACAAAATGTAAAAATCTATTTTTCCCATTTTGAAGACTGACTCTTTTTCTAAATCCGCAAATATCTGATTAACGAGTAGTTGCAGAAAAAAATGCCTCTGAACCTTTTTTGCAGCTGATGAAATTTCCTACAAAAAATGTTGTATGAATGTTTTTCCTAGAACCACTCATCACTGAGATAATTAACAAAATGTGAGTTTCATCAAAATGACATGAATGAAAAAACGACTTCTCTAAATTTGTCACTCTAATACTTTCGTTAATTCCCCACTGACCTTTAGGAAAAACGTCTTTTCACATT